GGCTTTAGCCTCGTGACCCTGGATCTTACTTAGTCCCTTGTTGAAGTCCTTCAGGTGGCCTGAGGGAGAACAGGGTGAGCAACTGTTGCTTCTCTGATTTCTGGGGAGTGATATCAGGTAAAGCAGCATCTGCTGCCAGGCTCAGTAGGCACATTGTATTCTAAGGATGCGACATACCCACTTCACCTTTGCCATAGTCCTGTGAGGAGATCCTATTCTTGTTTGACAGAGGAGTTCAAGGCTCAGTGAGCTTAGAGTGTGTCAAAGTCTCCCGGTTACTGACTGACAAGGCCACAAACCCAGGTCTGTGGCAAAGTCAAGGCACACTTCAATCAGAATTAAGAAGTGACAGAAGCTACTGTGTCCAACCCCTCTGCCGTTTCTCCGTCTCCCTGTCCCTGAGGGATGGTGGGAACCCTCTTTGACCTAGAGGGATGTGGAAAATTCCTATGAGCTTTCCATGATGCTGGAGGATGAGCTGTAACACCAATGCCATACAGTCACCAGAAGGTCACCCGGAGATATTGCCTTAGACCTGACAATGTGAAATTAGCAGCTTGAGGGACCCCAGAGGTCAGTAGGACAGGCATCTGAGGGACCCAAGCTCACTGTCACGGGTTAGGACTTCTGGATAGCCATCAAGTCTGTATTGAAGATGTAGAAGTGAGAAGTACCCTGATTTGATATCTCATCCAGAGCCTGACAATTTGTGTAATTCCATGTAAAATTATCATAGAGCACCCCTTGCTGAGACTATGTGCAGGCAGTTATTATGCCTGATCCCCAATTCCAGGCAGAGGACTTACTCAGAAGATGTCAGAATGTGGTCTGTTGCCCCAGCTAGCTGGCTGAGAAGGTGGGCAGCCTCTATCTTCATAGTCACCTGTAAGCTGGAGACTCAACCAAGTCTGCTGTCTAAAGACAATGCCCAAGGTTGAAAAGATGAAACTGGCCCAGGCATGGTGGCGCATGCTTGTAATGCCAGCTAAGAGGCTGAGACAGGAGGATTGCTGTGAATTCAAGACCTGCCTGAACTACATGGCAGTAAAGAAGGAGGAGGGAGAAGGAGAAGAAAAGGACTTTAAAAAAAAGTCCTAGACAAAACTAGGCTCTGGAGTCCTGTCTGCCTGCATTGCCCATACTGAGCATGCCTGGCCTTAGTCAAAGGGGAAAGGGAGGGGGCTTTGTGGTTTGGGTTTTTGTGGGGAGTGTTCTTTGGGGACATGGTCTCAAGCAGCCCATCTGTCCTAGAACTCCCTGTGTAGCTGAGGATGGCCTTGAACCTCTGATGCTGTCACCTCCACTTCCTGAGTTTGGGGGCTACAGGTGTGTGCTGCCACACCTGGTTTTATGTAGTGTTTGGAATGGAACCCATGGCCTGGTGCTCTGCTGGCATCTTCTCACCTCCAAAACAGGAGCATCACACAGGCTGCACACCCCTAGACTGAAAACCTGCAGTCCAAAACTGCAGTGTTTTGAGCGCCTATGTGAGGCTTCAAGCAGAAGATTTCACACCTGACCTTCTGGAATGGGTCACGGTCACCAGGAAGGTACCCTAAAATTACTAAGCCCAATGACACTGAGTCTATTCATAAGACATACATATGAAGCAAATTAATTTTCTGTTTGGACTTTGCTCCTGTTCTCAAAATATTTCAATGTCTACATATAAATATTCCAAAATAAAATTCCAAAATTAAAAAAATATATTGGACTGGGGATATTGCTTGATCATTACAGTGGTTGCCTTGCAAGTATAAAGACCTGAATTTGACCCCCCAGAATCCATGAAAAAAGCCAGGTCCAATGGTGTGTGCTTGTAATCCCAGCACAGGGAGGTGGAGTCAGGCTCCTGGAACTCACTGGAGTTCCAGGCCAGGAAAAGAACCTATGTCCACACAAACTAACAAGGGGCTGGAGAGATGCCTCAGCAGTGAAGAGCATGTCTTAATCAGGGTTTCTATTGCTGTGATGAAACACCATGACCAGAAAGCAAGTTGGAGAAGAAAGGGTTTATTCAGCTTACACTTCCACATCACTGTTCATCACTTAAGGAAGTCAGGACAGGAACTTAAACAGGGCAGGAACCTGGAGGCAGGAGCTGGTGCAGAGGCTATGGGGAGGAGGGTGGCAGGGTGCTGCTTACTGGTTTGCTTCCCTTGGCTTGCTCAGCCTGCTTTCTTATAGAACCCAGAACCAGCAGCCCAGGGATGACACCATCACCATGGGCTGGACCCTCCCCCCATTGATCATTAAATGAGAAAATGCCTTATAGCTGGATCTCATGGCAGCATCTCAACTAAGGGTCCTTCCTCTGATGACTCTGACTTGTGTCAAGTTGACACAAAAATGGCCAGTACCCGACACCTGGTGCTCTTCCAGAGGACCCGGCTTCCAATCCTAGGACCCACTTGGCAGCTCACAACCATCCATAACTCCAGTTCCACTCTGTAACAGGACCCATCTCCTGACACAGCACTGACCTTTGCCAGTGAGTTTCCCACCAAATTCTCCTCCTGCATTTGGAAGAGTGCTCTAGAGGTAGAGTGGTTATGGAAAGAGCCTTGTGTTCCATGGGGCCATCTGTCTAGTGACTCATTCCTGGGTCTCTTGTCTTTCCAAACACCTTGCCTCACTGTCCCCAGACTTCTCCCTGTCCTGTCTGGCCAGTTCTTCCAAGACTCCTCTGAAGCTTTGCCTGGTGTCCTCTGATGCTTGTGTACAGCCCCTCTGGGAGCAGGGCCAAGTGTAAATTGACACCTCTTCCCAGGAGAGACTAGGGAATTTGTGAGGCAAAACACTTACTGGTCTATGCCAGCAGGGCCTAGGACCTGGTCACCGGTTCACAAGAATTCTCATGCCACTGGGAACCTTGCAGACCTGGCCACCAAACTGCAGGGCCTCACAGGAGGTTACTAACCTCTTCCTTGGCTCCTTCTCTGTTCCTTATGGCTCTTCACCTCCAGTGAGATAGAGAAGAAGAGAGGGAGGCTAGCAGCAGTCCCCAAGGGCTCATGCATCCTTCTGTCCAACTCTAGTCCAGCCCCTGCCACCCCTCCCTGGAACCTGCTGTGACCATGACCCACCGTCCACATCTTCCTTCAGCAACAGAACTTCACTCAGTCTTGTCCTTCCAGGCATAGAGGTCCAAACAGACAACCTGTGGGGCTCTTGCTAGGTTCCCACTGAGCCATTCAGTGGAAGAGACAGGAGCCTAGGAGCAAACACAGGCTGCAACAGAGGCCAGGGTAGGACACACTCACCTCAGCTGGTGCAGCCAGGAGCCTAAAGATGCCTCCCTCAGGCCTGGCACTACAGACGAATGTCCCCATAGGAAGTGATGGGCAATTGAAGACAGAGGGTTCTGTCTCAGGCTCAAAGCCCAGCTTGGGTCCCTACCCAGCACTCTATCTCATTCAGGAGTGGGCCTGAAGTGTAGATGCCCCTGCTCTGGGACCCAAGGGAACAGGTGTGCCCAGCCTCTCTCAATAGCCTATCCCACTTTTCCATCACAGATAGACTTGGAGGTGTCCACTCCCATGCAAACTCCAAAGCATGGGTTAGCCTTCTTTATCACCTTGTTTCTATCTGAAATTTCTGAGTGGCAGACAGCTGTGTTACAAGCATCGTGAGTTCACTCTGCCTTGAGGGCAGGCCTGGGTCCTGGCTCACATATACTCTTCCATTGTGTGTGGCTTTTCCCTCACCACCACCCACAGCCCTCCTTTTCTTTTTGAAGTCTACAGTCCAGGGTTTCCCACTTTGGAGCTATTTAGACAGCCATGGGAATGAGACCCTACTAGGACAGCCTTGAAAGTATGCCTGTCCCCAAGGGAGGAGTGCTGGCTGGGTGGCCCCACAGCCTGACTTCCCATCTCCAGGACCAGAGCCAGGTGGTTTTGACACTCAGCCTAGAGGGACTCATGGCTCCTGCCTGCTGCTGAGCCTGAGCCTGGACTGTATCCTTCTGAGCCCTGGTGGTGACAAGCCAGCTCTGTGGTGGCCCCTTGGCTTCTCAGAGCCTCGTGTCTGCCAAGGCCACATGTTCCTAAAAGGCCTTCAGACACCAGGCCATATGCAGTTGGAGCAGCCCAGGCCTGACTTATAGGGAAACTGAGGACAAGGAGAAAAATCCCAGGAGGTGAGTTGTAGCCTCTGGGAGACCTCTGGGCCTGCTATGTTAAGCCAAGAGGGTCATACCAGGTGGAAACATATCTGCTGGTATGCCGTGACCAGCCAGGCACATTCACGCAACAGTGTGCTGCACATTGCGAGTGGGTAGACCCAAGTTTCATTGTAGTATAGGAGTTTGAGCAGATTTCTGGAACTTTAAGTCTCAGTTACCTGGGCATCCCCACAGGCAGGGAGACTGGCAGGAACTTGCTTCTAGGGTCATGAAAAGAACACGATGATGTTGAGAATGTCTGCAGAAACCTGTGCAGGTTGTGGAACTGTGGCACACTGCACCTAAGAGGAGAGGCTGAGCCTCGTTCTGCCTGGCTCAGGCCCATAGCAGCTAGAGTGAAGCCAGGACATCGTGGGAAGTGAGGGGACAGAAGGAAAATATTATTCTTACCTTTCTAGAATCATAAATAAAAACAAAGTGTTGTTCTTTCCTCAGAGGAACATGCGTTCTTTGTAGCAATTAATTACTTCCTGAAATGCCTTCATGAGTTTGGCAATTGGCAGCTGACAGGTGAGAAGGAGAAGGATGCAGGGGCTTTGTGCCAGGTGGGGAACTGGTACAGTTCCCCAGTGCAAACCCGATCTCCTGCCTTTGCTCCAGAGGCTGGCAGGGCCAGGCTCAGTGCTGGGTTTGTGCTATTTGTCCTGACAGGCTGGGTTCAGGCAGGGAGGAGGCATAAGGATCACTCAGTGGTTTGGGGACAGTTGCTGACAGGCTGGTCATGCTCTCTGTCCTGAGGTATGCCAGGCATCTCCATGTCAGCCTTGACTGATTACGGGTCACTGACCGACTTCAGCCGGAGTGGTTTGTGGCAATGCCCACAGCATCAGGACGTGACTGTGCCATAGCTCCAAGGGCACAACCCCCAACCTTTTCTGGCTCTGGCAGGAATGGACCCCTGGGTGTGTATGTGGCAGATGTGTCTGAAGACTCCTATGAACATGTGGACTGTAGGAAGGAAACACTTCCTCTGAGAAACAGGAGTCCACTGTTGAACCTCAAAGGTCACATGGCCTCTGTGCTGCAGTAGAGGGGCAGATAAGACCTACCTTGATTTCTGCAGTGACTGAGGGGATCCGCCTTCTAGAATAGTCTGCCTGGGGCCTAGCCTCCTCTTCAGGGCTGCCTGAGGCATCTCTCTGCCTTTCAGGTCGGGGAAGTTAATTCATGATGATGGCAAAACTCTGAAGAACTTCCTTCTTTGCCAGAGCTTTCTGCTCTGTTTTTGGAAATATCCACCACTGTGACATGAGGGCATATACGGGTCACCTCTTGGCTTTATGGATCACAGAGAGGCCCTGCATGTGGACCTGGCTATGCTGTCTTGGAGTCTGTGTCTCATGAGGAAAGTCAATGGGAGCCTTAGTTCCCAGGGTCCTGCCTGCTGCCATCACGAGGCTTCCATTGACCAGTCATTGACCCTCTCATGCTCTGTACCTAACGAGACCATACCAGAATACACCCATGACACAGCAAAGAAGAGTATGGTGACAGTTCTTCCCAACTATCCTCAGCCAGGCTCCTCACATATCCTGGCTGTGGCGGTGCAATGCTCTTTGGGGGTCACCATCCTCCTTGACTGGAGGCAGCCTGTCCCAGGGAAACAGAAATACCTTACCAGACCCCAGCTATGTCTCAGCACATTGCTTCAGCTACTGCCTAGAGGGATGCCTATCTGTCCCTATGTGAATATGGGGGCTGTACTCAACCTGTGAGTAGCCTCACACCCAAAAGAAAGCAACAACATACCCAGCAAACAGAAAACTCCACAACACATGAAAAGAAACTGAAGCCAGAGAAAATACTATTGATAGTTCCCTGTGTACCACGACCCCACCACGAGCATATGTTCCCCAGTCTTGGAACAAGGGGCCCCTTGTTTCATTTTGCACTGAGCCCCTAAAAGAAGGTAGCCAGACACACTTGTTGGCCCCTTAATAAAATCCTGAAGTCTTTGCCTGTCCTCCAAGGAAGTAATTTTCTGAGGAGATACTTACCCATGCTCTCTGCTTCCCCACAGGTATCGTGTTAGCTGTGTGCCAGGCTCTGGAGAACAGCACATCCCCCCTGAGTGGTGAGTCCATCTTCCCTGGGTGTTAGGGTATGGGTCCTGGGTATGGGTCTCACATCTGGAGAGCTCCCTCCTGGGGACACTTGCCTGTCCTTGAACCCTCTCATCTCCTCTGGGCAGAAGGGAGAATACCAGAAGGTCTTCACCATGGCCCAAGGGGACTGTGTATGTTTTCCCTCGGGGGTAGCCCATTCAGAGTCCTTCACCTGTTTAGACAACCAACGTGGCAGGTAAAATGGGGCCTGCTGAGCTTGAAGCTGTCCATGCTTTACCAACCACGTGACGATTAGATTTCCAAAGCTCCTGTCCGTTTCTGCCCAGTGGCCTTGTGACCTTTGCTTAGTTATTCCCACCCCAACCATTTCTGCCCTCTCTCTCAATACTAATGAGTGTCTCAGGGAAACCCCTCCTGTTTCATAGGTTCCTAGCTAGTGTTTGCACACCGTAATGGTTGTCTTAATGATTTTGATTCCTGCTTTTCTGTGTGTTGGGACAGGGGTGTGTGCCTGTACTCAGGTACTGGTGTTTGTGTGACAGGCACTTACCCACTAAGCCATCTGGCAAGTACCAGACGACATTGCAACACTTACAGCCTGGGCTTGAGGGTACTTAGACATGAGGCCAGGCAGGAGTCACACTTGTTCTGGTACCTGATGGGAGTACCTCCAGGCAGCTTTGGGAGGCTGAGACACCACTGGCTGTGTGACCCTGCTGTGCCTTGCACCCTTCTAAACTAAACTGTGCACCTGAAACATGCAGGCTTTGGGGCTGTGTCAGCCAGGGGGAATGGAGACCTGCTGGCTACTGAGTCACTCTCTTGAGACAAGTTGGAATGGTGGCAAATGCTGATGTCACTATCAGTGGGAAGGATGCCCTTGACTATGTTACCTTTCATACAGACAGTCTGGCGATATCCTGCTTGAGTCTGCTCCCTCGGGGCCCTGGAGTGGCTCCCGCTGAGCCTCTTTGGAGCGCTGTAGGCCCTCTTGGAAGACCTGATCCTTCAGCCAGAAAATCACAGGCTCTACCCTGTCTGAAGCCTTTCCCTTCTGAATTTCCTCCTGAGGGAATTGCCCCTTCTCACACAGAGGCCCCCAAATCAAGTCTGTCCCCTGCTATGCTGCCTGGACTCTGTAATGACTGAGCACCCATGAAAGCTCAGGATGGCAGGCCAGAACAGAGGCATACTGCACTGTACAGAAGGCCCCAAGCCATTTCCCCTCTGGGGACAAGGGAGGTGGCTACTTATCTGAACTCTGACTGCTCTCGGTAGGGTGAATGATTAGAGGTGGGACTGGCTCTCTTTGGTTTTGCACACTCTAGAACCTGGGTCCTAGGACTCAGGGGGAGGGGCCAGGAGTTAAGTTCAAACAGTGGTGACTATGTCATGGTCAACTCTCCAAAGGCCAAGGCTGAGTGACTAAGCAGAGCTTGCCAGCCTTACTTTCTCTTCCTTTCGGCGACCTTTACCGATAGGACTGCTCAGTCTATTCCACCTCTTTCTGCCACCCCCAGGGCTGAAATCTTGGGGTGGGGGCAGCTCAAATGTGCCCAGCAACAGCTTTGGATGACATCCTTGGTAACACGGTCCATCCTTTTAGAGATAGGGTCTCAATGTTTTGGAGTACATCAGTTAGGCTAGACTGGTTGGCCAGCGAGCCCCAGAGATCCTCCTTCCTCTGCCTCAGAGCACTTGGATCAAAAGCACTCAGCAACATCCTTCTTTTTAACTTGGGTTCCGGGGCTTGAACTCAGATCCTCATGCCTGGACACCAGGCAATTTACTGACTGAGCCATCTTCCCAGCCCTCAGTATTAATTTGTGATTTTGGTGTTTTCTTCTGTTGCCCGGTAAGTATAATTTTTTTTCAGGTGAACTCTGTTTTGGAAATTTTATTCATTGTGTCCTGAGCTCTCCCCGCCCTCCTCTCCTGCACCCCCCCATGCCCTAGGTATTAGTGGGCTCCTATACTGAATTCCAGAAGCATCCATTAGGGTTAGGATGAGGAATTTCAGGACAGTAACAAATGGACACAGCTGTCCACTTTGTTGATCAGAACTAGATGCCAATGGATCTACATTTGGTTTAATACATCCCTAGAGTGACAATGGTGCCACAAGGGCCTCTGCAGACCTGGGGTAAAGCCCCAGCATTACAGAACATGGTGGAGAGAAAATTTTAGGTTCCAGGTGCCAATCAAGGGTGGGACTCCAAGCTCAGAAGAACACGGGGTTTGTCCTTTTTTTTTCCCCCTTTGGATTAGGGGAAGCATCAGTGTCATTAGAGCAGGCGAGCAGTTGCCCTGGGCCTTTCTTGGTAAGATCTTATTTTGTTTCATTCTCTTCGATCCCCAAATATGGAGGGTGGAGGGTGCCAGAGGTGTGGGAAACTGGGTTGCATCAGTAAAGGCTTCTCAAGCATTTACTTTGGGTGGAACAGTGGAGAACATGGGGCCTCAGGGAGGAGACCAGGATCCTGCAGTGGGGCCCGCTTGGTTTCAGACTTTCCAAGTTCCTGAGCAGGTTAGTCCTCAAGCGTCTGCTTAGATTGGTTTCCTCATCTGTGGGACTGAGCAAGGGATGGCCTGAGAATCTCCACCTGGATGTCCTGATGAACAAGGAGAGACCATGGAGCCTGGGAGGGAGATTCTGAGGATGCCTTCAGGTTTTTAGGGAGCGTTGCAGTCAGCGATCACTGATGCCTGTCCTGAGCAGGGCAGGGAATGGTGGTGTGATTGCCGGGCAGAGTTGTCCCTCCATATCTACAGGTTCTGCATCTTAGCAGTCAAAAGGCAAGCATACTAAATATGTATAGACTTTGCATCCCCAAGATGTTTACAACAACAATATGGCACTGTTCATACTTTGTTTTGCATATTATAGTAATGCAGAGGTAATTTAAAATATGTGGGAGGGGCTAGGGAAATGGCTTGGTGGAATTGTGAAGATCAGACTTCAGATCCTCAGAACCTACATATAAAATGGACAGTCATGGTGGTTCCCTTTAATCCCAGCACTTAGGAGGGGAAGATGGCTGATTCCTGAGGCAAGCTGGCTAGCTAAACTAGCTGGGAGATCTTGCCTCAATAAATACAGTGAAGAACAATCCAGGAAGACATCTGATGTCAACTTTGAGCCTACACACACACACACACACACACACACACACACACACACACACACTAAAAAAAAATGTGTGGGAACATGAGTGTGGCTTCAGTGTATAACCTACACTATTTCCTGTAAGGACTTGAGCATCTTTGGGTTTCATTATGGACTCGTCCTTCCCTACTGGATACAGAGGCACAGCTGCGTCTGATTCTCTTGGGATGTTGCATCTCAAGGATGCTCTTGTATCTTTAGATCTCAACCCTCTGGTTGCCAAAATCCTATAAAGAATTGGACATCTCTGCCTGGCCCTCCAGGAGCCCACACAGACAAGTGACGACATAATCTGTGAACCTTTCTTGGGAGTGTCACTGGCTGCTCCGTGTGCCATTTCAACCATAGACTACCACAGAAGTGAAATCAGTGCTCTGAAGTTTGGAGCCTAAACTTTAATCCTTATTGGGTATCTGTTTATAAAACTCAAAGGGAAACATCATCTGGAGGCAGGTGAGGGCGTCGGCACCCACAGCTTAGAACACTGGCTACACCCTCCTCAGGACCTATATTCAAAATATATATTCACTCTTGGATGCCCCCTTTAAAAGGGACAGAATGAACCCAGTCATGAAGCTGTTGGGCAGCCCTTTGCCTCGCCCTCAGCAACGCTGCACATTCCCAGGCCGCTCATCTGGTTCTTTTCTCATGAAACTTGCTGTAATGACCAAGAAGGTGTGGTGAGGGCCCCTCTGGGCCCCTGGAAGCCAGGCTCCTGCCACTGGCACATTCCTCAGAGTGGCTCTCTCTACTTCAGATTCCTCATCTTTCACCTTTGGCCAGTGCCTATGGACACCCACCTGGCTTCACGTGTTTAATTTAGTATCTGGAAGACTATTCAAAAATGATGAACACAGAAACTTCAGTGTGGGGGTTCCTTGTAGGGTGTGTCCCCATTCTCACTTGCTTGGGGAGATAGTGGCCAGGTCAGGCATCACTGGGCACTGTAGACTCCAGTTTGTTGAGATGAGAGTTGTAGCTGGGCTGGACAGGAGGGCAAGTCGGATTAGAGGGGAAAGCCTTGGAAGACTTTTCTTGTTTACAAAGCAGGCTGAAACGTGGGTCTGCCAGCCAGCCAGCCAGCCAGCCAGGACTCTCCTCATTGCTCACCTCCTTTAACAAAAGCTTTTCAGAACTTCAAACTGCTTCCCCGTTCCATTGTCTACAGTTTTCCCACATGTGAAGCTGAAGTCATTCTAAAATTAGAAGGCTCACGTGTTTGAACCAGGTACATGGTTCACCTGTTTCAAATCAGTGCCTCGCACACAAGAGGCTTGCTGTGCCGCAGTTCAGGGTAAACCGCACACACCTGTGTGTGGTTGCCTAGTTCTTGCGTAGAGGAGCCGAGGGATGGAATGAAAGTCTTCCTGCCTTCCAGGGTGTGTCCTTGTCATCTACTTCCTCATTTTATCTGCTACTTGTTCGTATATGTGTGGAGTACATGCCTGTACAGGTGTGTATGTACTTGTGTACTTGTACACATTGAGACTAAAGACTGACTAACATACATGGTCTTCCTCAATTGTTTGCCACCTTTTTTTCCTTTTCTTTTTAACTTAAATTAGAAACAAGCTTGTTCTACATGTCAATCCCAGCTACCTCTCCCTCCTCCCTTCCTCCACTACCTTTTTTTTTTTTTTTTAAGATTTTCTCTTAATTTTTGCGTATGTGCCTGCCTGTGTGTGTATAGGAGTTTGAAGAATCCAGAAGAGGTATCAATCCCCTGGAACTGGAGTTACAGGTGATTGTGAAGCCACCATGTGGGTGCTGGAAACTGAACCCTAACTTTAACCCCAGTCCTCTACAAGACTGTAAGCAACTTTAAATGCTGAGCCATCCACC